CATTCTCAGTGAGTCTGTCCAGCGCAGCACACTGAACTCAGATCAAACTGTCAAACTAGGCAGTGCTGATCAAATATGAAGTAAGATTATGTTACTGTGTTGACTATTTCTCAGCTAAAATTGCTTCAGAAAAATATTTTAGTGTACTGTTTAGCTTTAATATGAGATCATGTTTGACCAGGCAGCCGGCATTGTCTCCTGCTATGGACTAGTTAAAACTGTGCAGCCAATGAGAGCAGCTCAACTTGCAGTACGTAGCTACTGCTGGCTCCAACAAACTGTCATGGCGATGACTCTACAAACCAATGGGTGATGTCACGTACTAACACATTCTTATTCCCAACTTGTCAAATACTGCAGCTGCACTCTGCTTCGAGTTAGCAAAAATAAATGTGCAATGTCCTGTCCTCCCAACAATCAGCGATTGCCTATAAATGCGCACATACTGTGTCGCTGTACATCTTTAAAGGAAATGTAATTTAAAGGACCAGTGTGTAGGATTCAGTGGCATCTAGTGGTGAAATCGCAGATTGCAACTAACTGAACACTGGTGTCTGTATTTGACGACCTATGAATGAGAACAGGCTGTCAAGTGTGTAGGAGGAACTATGGTGACCACAAAACTCGCAAAAAAACACAAAAGGCCCTATCTAGAGCCAGTGTCTGGTAAAAATAGATCTTTCTAAATGTTACACATTTACACATTTTGCATTTATAACAAAACCGAATTTGATTTATATCAGTAAATCTTTAAACCACTATATTCAGTGCCATGGACACAGTTGGACCTGTAACCAGTGGTTTCCTGTTGAGGCCTATAGTATACTGTATTTATGCTGGCCACTGCAGACAGACCATGACTGGGCAGTATGTAATGGCTGCTGGCAATTTAATAGGAAGCATGTCTTGCTTTAAAAGGTGGCTTCAAGAAAAATGCTTCCATTAGTTTCCCATTAGTTGAAATATTATGCAACGGAAATGAGCGTATATCCAGACAGACTATAATTGTGAGGCGTGAGTGTGGAACGCGTATTAGAGCAGGCAATAACTCAAGTGGGGAGAACAAAACAAGAGCCTCTTACCTACTGCTGAATGTTTCATTGTTATGTGGTGCATTCAAGGACCAAATGTGGGCAGAGAAAATGAATGAGATACAGAGAAAGTTTTCTTTTTCCAAGAAGGAGAAGAATATGCTTTATCTTCCTCCTCAGAGTGGGACGGATGTGAGGGAAAACGATAAAGAGGGTAATTTATGTTGTGCAGCTGAAAAAGTAAATCAGAGAATATAATCAGGGTGTTTGTTCTGAATATTAAAGAGGAACTAAATCCAAAATTGCATTTTTGTGTATTTAACCTCTGTTTACTGCTCACCACAGATCGAATAAATAAAGCAACGAAATGAGCAGGGAGCCATTGTACTAAGTTTAGTCATTAGAGGAGGAACGTTTTAAAAGCATGGCTAGTGACTTTCCAAGAGCATGATCTGACCTCACTGAGCAAAAACAGATCAGAGTTTGAGCAGATAGTTGATCTTTGACTTATACAGCAGCCTAAAGCTTTAATAATTATCCATTTTCCATCCATAGGCCAAAATTGCATCATCAAGCCATCCTTAGCTGGTAACAAACCTTAAAGCCCCCCTACCCCACAATTGGATGTTTGAGCTTCACTCATATCGCTGCAAAATTGGCGCACAATGTGGATTGGAGTCTATTTCCATTCCATCTCATAAATATTACTCACTATATTGGCAACCAAATTCGTGATTAGTGAATATTCCCATCTAAAATTGGTGTCTGTCAAAAAACTCCCATATCAGTCGGACCAGACACAGAAGATTGTTTATTTTTTTGCCCCACAAAACACTTTTCTTTTATTCTTTTTCAAATTTCTATTTCTTTTTTTTGTATTGATAGTGCAAGATACTAGATTAACATTAAGACAGGAAGATGTGTGAAACATGACATGGCAACACAAATGACAGCAACAGGGGTATTACATAACTACAGAGACAACAAAAAATGACAAAAATAATATATATATAATAAAAATCAGAAGTAAATATACATTAAAAAAAATAAATCAAGAAAACGGAGGTAACTAAATAAATACAGGAAACTTGAAATAAAGACCACAATTTCTAGCCCTGACTTGTGTCTGGAAGAGAGACACAGAGGGGAGTGAAGTAGGAGCAGCAGGTATTTAACAAAATGAGATGTCAGAGTCAGCAACGGCACAGCCTCAATCATATTTACTTTTAATTCAATTTAC